AAAATAAAAGTATGTAAAGTATGACACCATATACCTAAATGTAAGGGCAAGTGGAATAAAGAATAGGTTCAAACCCGAGCAACCATTAACTTAATATAGACTGTTATATGCAGAAGATGCTATATACAAACTGAATGATGACCACAAATCAAAAACTAGTAATAGATATGCAAAAATTAAGGAGAAAGGAATTCAGTTATATAACTAAAGAAAGCCAACTAATGAGAGAAGAGAGCAAGAAAGGGAAAGAAAAATACAAAAACAACCATAAAAATAACAAAATGGCAATAAATACATACCTATCAATTATCTTGAATGTAAATAGATTAATTGCTCCAATCAGAAGACATAGGGTGGCAGAATGGATTAAAAAAAAAAAGATCCACCTAGATGCTGCCTGGAAGAGACTCATTTCAGACCTAAAGACACATACAGATTGAAAGTAAAGGGATGGAGAAGCATTTATCATTACAAATGGGTGCAATAAGAAAGCCAGGGTAGCAATACTTAAATCAGACAAAATGGACTTTAAAACAATGATGGTAACAAGAAACAGAGAGAAACTGCATAATAAGGGGAACCATCCAACAAGGTATAATAAGTGTAAATATTTATGCACCTAACATGAAAGCATCCAGACACTTAAAACAGTTAATAGCAAACATAAGGAAAATAATCAGTAATACAATACTATTATTATAATACCCCACTTAACATCAATGGACAGGTCATTCAAATAGTAAATCAACAAGGAAACGGTGTCTTTGAATAACACATTAGACCATATGGATTTAACAGAAACAGTCAGAAAACTCCACTCTAAAACAGCAGAATACACATTCTTTTCAAGCACACATGAAACATTCTCCATAATAGATAACATGTTAAGCCACAAAACAAGTCTCAATAAATTCAAAAAGACTGAAGTCATACTATCCCTTTTTTCTGACCACAACACTATGAAACTACAAATCAACCACAAGAAAAAAATCTGGAAGGAGCAAAATACATGTTATCTATAAAATGCTATCCAGCAATGAATGGCTCAACCAAGAAATCAAAGAGTAAATAAAAAATTTCATGGAAACAAATGAAAACACACACAAAAGAAAGAAAATGAAAACAATGATTCAAAATCTTTGGGATGCAAAAGTGGTCCTAATAAATCTATAGCAACACAGGCCTACATTAAGAAGCAAGAAAAATCTCAAATAAGGAAACTAATATTACACCTAAAGAAGCTAGAAAAAGAACAACAACAAAAACAGAAGGAAGGAAATAATAAAGATTAGTGCAGAAATAAATTATATAGAAATTTTAAAAACAATAGAAAAGATTGATGAAACCAGGAGCTGGTTCTTTGAAAGGATCAACAAAATTGATAAAACTTTAGTCAGACTCATCGAGAGAGAGAGAGAGAGATAATTAAACAAAATCACAAAAAAGGAGAAATAACAACTGACACTTCAGAAACACAAAGGATTTTAAGAGAATATTATGAAAAATTCTATGCCAAGAAACTGGACAAACTAGAATAAATAAACTCCTAGAAACACATAACCTCCATAAACTGAATCAGGAAGAGAGAGAAAATTTGAACAAACTGATTATCGACAATGAAACTGAATCCGTAATCAAAAACTCCTAACAAACAAAAGTCCAGGACCAGATGGCTTCGCAGGCTAATTCTACCAAACATTTAAAGAAGATTTTAATACCTATTATTCTCAAACTATCCCCCCAAAAATGGAAGGAAAACTTCCATATTCATTCTACAAGGCCGGTATTACTCTGATACCAAAACCAGATAAAGAAACTACAAAAAGAAACTATAGGCCAATATCTCTGATGAACATAGATGCAAAATTCCTCAACAAAATATTAGCAAACCAAATCCAACAATACATTAAAAAAAGTCATTCACCACAATCAAATGGGATTTATTCCTCGGATGTAAGTGCAATATTTGCAAATCAATCAACATGATACATCACATTAATAAGAGAAAGGATAAAAAACATCATTTCAATAAGTGCAGGAAAAACATTTGACAAAGGACAACATCCAATTATGATAAAAACTCTTAATAAAGCAGGTTTAGAGAGAACATACCTCAACAGAATAAAGGCTACATATGAAAAACACACAGCTAGCATCATACTCAATGGTGAAAACTTGAGAACTTCCCCCTAAGATCAGAAATAAGGTAAGGATGTCTACTCTCAGCACTTTTTAAAAAAAAAGTTTATTTAAGAGAGTGTGAGCAGGGGAGGGGTAGAGAGAGAATGCCAAGTAGGCTCTGTTCTGTACTGTCAGTGCAGAGCCCAATGCAGGTCTCAAACTCGCAAAGCATGAGCTCATGACCCAAGCTGAAGTCAAGAGTCAGATGCTTAATGGACTGGGCCACCCAGGCACCCCCACTCACTCTCACTCCTTTTACTCAACATAGCAGTGGAAGTCCTAGCCACAGCAATCAGACTACAAAAAGAAATAAAAGGCATCCAGACTGGTAAGGAAGAAGTAAAACTTTCACTATTTGCAGATGACATGATGCTATAAATAGAAAACCTTAAAGACTCTACCTAAAAGCTACTAGACCTAATAAATGAATTTAGTAAGATCTCAGAATAGATCAATGTATAGAAATAATGAAACAAGAGAAAGAAAAATTAAGAAACCAATCCCATTTACAACTGCACCAAAAATTAAATACCTAGAAATAAGCCTAACCAAGGAGATGAAAGACTTGTACTCTGAAAACTATAAAACACTGATGAAAAAACTAGATGACAACACAAACAAATGGAAAGATATTCCAAATTCATGGATTGGAAGAACAAATATTAAATGTTAAAATGTCCATACTATCCAAACCAATCTATAGATTTAATGCAATCAGTATCAAAATACCAATAGCATCCTTCACAGAACTAGGACAAATAATACTAAATTTGTATGGAACCACAAAAGACCACTAATAGCCAGAACAATCTTGAAAAAGAAAAAGCTGGAGGCATCACATTTCCAGATTTCAAGTTATACTACAAAGCTGTAGTAATCAAAACAGTACGGTGCTGGCACAAAAACAGACACATAAACCAATGGAACATAATAGAAAGCCTAGAAATAAATGCACAATTATATGGTCAATTAATCAACAAAAGAGGCAAGAATATGCCATGAGGAAAAAGACAGTCTCTTCAACAAATGCTGCTGGGAAAACTGGACAACTACTTGCAAAAGAATGAAACTGAACCACTTGCTTACATAATACAGAAAAGTAAAGTCAAAATGGATTAAAGACCTAAACATGAGACCTGAAACCATAAAAATCTTAGAAGAGAGCACAGGCAGTAATTTCTCTGACATTGACATTTCTAGATATGTCTCCTTAGGCAAGGGAAATAAAAGCCGAAATAAACTATTGAGATTACATCAAAATAAAAAACTGCATAGGAAAGCAAACAATCAACAAAACTAAAATACAGCCTACTGAATGTGAGAAGATATTTGTACATGACATATCTGATAAAAGGGTAGTATCCAAAATATACGAAGAACTAATAGAACTCAAACTCCAAAAAACAAATAATCCAATTTAAAAATGAGCAGAAGACACGAATAGACATTTCTCCAAAGAACACATACAGATGGCCAACAGACACATGAAAAGATATTCAGCATCATTCATCATCAGGGAAATGCAAATCAAAACCACAATGAGATACCACCTCACACCTGTTAGAATAACTACAGTCAAAAACAAAGAAACACCAAGTGTTAGTGAAAATGTGGAGGAAGAGGAACCCTCATGCACTGTTGGTGAAAATGCAAACCGGTGCAGTCACTGTGGAAAACAGTATGGATGTTCCTCAACAAATTAAAAATAGAACTACCCTATGATCCAGTAATCACACTACTTTGTATTTACCTGAAGAATATAAAAACACTAATTTTAAAGGATACACATACCCCTTATTGTAGTATTGTTTGCAATAGTCAAATTATGGAAACCGCCCCAGTGTCAAAGTATGGAATATATGGTCCATCAGTGATAGTAATACTAATATATATTTTTATATATGAATGATCTCTTTTATGGTTGAATAATATATATCCATATTATATATTTATATATTGGAATATTCAATCATAAAAAATATGTGATTTGACCTATAACAGAATATTATTCAGCCATAAAAAGAATGAATCTTGCCATTTGCAACAATATGGATGGAGTTAATGCTAAGTGAAATAAGACAGAGAAAGACAAATACCATATGATTTCACTCACATGTGGAACTTAAGAAACAGAACAAAGAAACAACGGAAAGAAAAAGTGACAAACCAAAAGCAGACTCATAACTGTAGAGAACAAATGATCATACACTGAGTAATGTATAAAATTGCTGAATCAATATTGTACACCTGAAACTAATATTACACTGTATTTAACTATATTGGAATTAAAATCTTAATTTAAAAAAAAAAAAAAAAAGAAAGTTGCTTATCTTTGGAAGTGGCTATTTGGTCTGCATTAGTGAGCACCATTTTATAATCTGACACCTGGCTCCTTTAACTGACAGCATGAAGCTTCAGTACTTGGTCTTAGCTCTTTCTATATTATTATTTGACTCAGTATGTTAAAATAATTATTTTTGCATCTTTCTCATTAGACTGAGCTCCTTGAGTGCAGGATGTAGATGCTCAATGAATATTTTTTGAACTAGAAACTGGACTTATGAAATTCAAGGCCAGAACCTTCTCATGGTAGCATTAAAGGCAATGATGAAAAAAGTAGTGTGGGATTAGGATTTGGGCAATAATCTCCATGACAGTGTTTCAAGAGGAAATTGGTGCTTTCTTAGTCCCCTGGGATGTCATGGTCCAAATGAGGTGCTTTTAAACTTATCCTCTGTGGCTACTGTAACCAGGCCCAATGCTGGCCAGTCTGAAGTGCTTTGCTGTAGGATGTGTATGAGCTCTGTCCTTTCCTGAAGGAGCCAGAGGAAGAGATACCCATGGAGAACACTCCCACTATGGCTAAAGTGGACCAGGGTGAAAATCAGGTTTTATCAAGTCTAAGAAGAAGGCGCCTCCCCAAGGCATTTGGCTATGTCATCGGTGATATGAAAGAATTTGCCGGCTGGCTTAAAGGTATTTGTGCTTCTATCCCTTGGATTGATGGGATAGGTATCTTGGGGGGAAATGACTTGCTGGTTCTTGTACTCATGTCTTTAGTTATATTCCCTTGACTTTTATCCATTTCCCTCCTCTCCAGTTTTTAACTTCTCATGTTCTTTTTTTAAGATTTTATTTTTAAGTAATCTCTACACCCAACATGGGGCTCGAACTTACAACCCAAGATCAAGATTTGTATGCTCTACCGACTGAGCCTGCCAGACACCCCTAACTTTTTACCTTCTAACCTCTTCCAATGTTTTTATGGAAAACAGTTGTCAGGACCAGGGCCCTGCTCATAATAGAGGAAGGCACTTGGTTCCATCCTGTAATTTCAACACTTAAGACACTGAAGTTTTATTATTGGTAACTCATTTCTTTGACTTAAGAGTCTGTACCACTGAGCATGGTAAATAAGTGCATTCAATGCTTTCTGTAGTGGAGATTCTAATGGGGACAGCGTGGGTAGAGCATAAAGAAGCAGAAGGGTTTCAGGGATCTGGGTGTTAATAAAGGGGAAATGACTCAGAGGGAGAAAGCTTCCAGGAATATCAAAACTTAGTTCACCCTTATCAGAAGGGATATTGATGATTTTACTCAGGCTGGGTACTGGGTGTGGAAAGGAGAATCTTGCCTTGTCGATTCCTTAGCTCTGTGCATCTTATCTCTTCCAGACAAGCCACAGGTGCTCCAGTTCGTAGACTGGGTTCTTCGGGGCATATCCCAAGTGGTGTTCGTCAGCAACCCCATCAGTGGAATCCTGATTCTAGTGGGACTCCTGGTCCAGAATCCCTGGTGGGCTCTCAATGGCTGTGTGGGAACAGTGATCTCCACCCTGACAGCCCTGTTACTTGCTCAGGACAGGTAGGTGTGTCCACTCAAGCCTGCTCTTCTTGCTTCTGAGAACACAGGAGCCAACCAGTGACTTCGGGCACCTGTGATAAAGTCCCACTCTTCCCAGAAAAATCCACCTTTATTCCACAGAACTCTATATTTGTCTTGAATCATATCAGGGATCATTTATATCCCTTATTATTTCTCTTTAATCATTCACTAAATCATTCTTTAATGATTAATCAATTATTTATCATCAGCATTTTGTTTGTTTGGGCATATGAGTTCTTAAAAAGTCTTGATGGCTTAAAAAATTCCACTAATTCCATGATATCTTGTTTCCATGCCTAATTTAGCAAATTCATTCTTTATAGGCAGTGCAAAGGTTAGTTCAGTTTCTAGAAAGATGAATAATCACAAATTCCAAGTTAAAAAGTTCTGACTTAAGAAGTGTTAGTGTGTCTTCTCAACTATGTATTAGGTTAAAAATAGCACATACATTTTTAAGTTTATTTATTTATTTTGAAAGAGAGAAAGAAAGAGCAGGCAAGTGGGAGAAGAGCAGAGAGAAGAGAGAGAGAGAATCCCAAGCAGGCTGCACACTGGCAGCACAGAGCCCAACTCGGGGCTTGATCTTGTACTAAACTCAAATATAGTATGTACTTTATAAATTAATCTGTCATCAGTGAAGTGATAAGCTGACCCCTTCCATGCGAGAAGACAGCTCCTGATTTCTAGTTTTATCGGGGAGGCTGCTGGTCTTCTAGATGTCCAGGATCAATGTGTAAGCACCAGTGGATGGTCATTGTAATAACTTAGCTCTTATAACACTTACCGTAAAGTACCTAAGAAACTAACCAGAAATAGAATCAGAAAATATTCCACTTTCCCATCAAATCCAAAGAGACTGATTTCTTCTCCGTAGCTTAGGTTCAATCCTATTCCAACGCACATCAGGAAATGGTCTATTCAGTTTGTAGGTGTGGTCCAAGACTGTGCCGTATTAACTATTCCTTCATTGTTTAAGTGGAAAATGACCCGTTTTCCTTATCAGATATTGTTTAGAAGTCAAGCCATATTTACGTGTGTTGATTTTCAAATCTCTTTTACTTTCCTCAGTCCTAAAGGACCGCATTAAAATGGCAACCCTGTTTTAAGTGAATCCACATCTTCCTGTTGCCTTAAGTATGGCATTCTGCAACTTGCAGACAGTACCATTAAAGCAATGGCAGCCAAGCATCAAACCTCCAAGTTCCTTATTGAGAAGATGAGTCTTTGCATAGCGGCCCATTGTCCTCACGTATAGTCCCAAATTCAAGAAGACAGTGTCACTTCTGGGGTTAAACCAGTACAAATTCAATCACTTCCTACATGTCCTGATAGATTACTTAAGGTAGACAAAGGACATTGGACAGAGTTCCACCTCTCGTGCTCTCACCCAGGTGAATGTAAGTGATACCACCTTGCTGTTTCGCTGGTACCTCCTGCCCCTGCTGAAGGTCTCACACCACCCAAGCCACCCCTGTAGTATGGCGTCACCCTCCTTCAGACCCTGCACCTAACCTCACCTACTCACTCCGCCATCTTCACACCTTATGACCCAATGACTTCATCCTTTAACTCAGCCCTTCATAGTGTGAGATGTCAGCTCTTAGAGCCCTGGAGGGGCCTGGCTTGTCAGCCTTGGGGCTTATCTATAGAAGCTGTTCTATTTCTCACTTAGGGCTTCTAGTGCTCAATTATGAAACGTGAACCATTTGGGCCAGGAGTAGAAAATTACCATTAGGACAACCATCAGAAGTGAGGTGAAATGCAGAGAAGCAAAAAGAATTTGATGCTAAATGTGCATGTAAATGGAGTACTCTGCCCAGGAAAAGTAATTGTTCTTTCATTGCAATAACTTGAAAATGGTTATTTGGAGACCACCAGATGGAAGCACAGGAAGATGAACACATGCTAAGTTGGAATATTAATGTTTATAAGGTCACAGACACTACAAAAGTGAATTTACAATTCAGCAATCTTACACCTCTGACCAAGAATGTCAGAATTAGGAAAGTTTCACGTAAGAGCTCTGAGGCCCTTAATGATGCTGGCCAGGGACCCTTAATGATACAGAAGAAATAACAACGTTCCCATGTCCATGCTGTGCCTCTCGCCTGCAGGTCAGCAATTGCAGCCGGGCTCCAGGGCTACAACGGCACCTTGCTGGGAATACTCATGGCTGTCTTTTCAGACAAGGGCAACTATTTCTGGTGGCTGTTATTCCCTGTGTCTGCTATGTCCATGACTTGGTAAGTTGTAACTGGTTTTCAAAACGCTTTTAGAAGAACATGTATAGACCCAAGAGAGAATGGGAAGTTAGTATTTAATGGGTACAGAGTTTCAGTTTTGGAAGATGGAAATGTTCTATGAATGGACAGCAGTGATGGTTATACAACAATGTGAATATACTTAATGCAAGTGAAGCGCACACTTCAAAACGGCTGAAATGGTAAATTTTATGATATATATACACATGCACAATTTTTAGAAAAATAATTTTTTAAATTTAGATTCAGTTTAGGTCTATTGGAAACATAAAGGATCAAAAACACACTGATGCATGTGACCCTCCACACATATCTCACCCCGCCTCCCCCCATCCAAGATTCTGATATCATTGGTCTGGAGTCTTGCTTGGTCATGGGGAGTTTTAAAGCCTCCCAGGGGGCTCCAAAGTACCAAATTTGAGAACGACCCCGTACATCAGTGATCCTTAAATGTGCACACTCCCAAATCACCTGAAGGCTTATGAAAACACAGACTGCTGCTCCCTCCCCAGGACTTTGGATTCAGTGCATGTGGGATGGAGCCTAGAGATTTGCATCTCTAATTAGTTGCCTAAGGATGTGGCTGATCCAAGGACTACACTTTGAGAAACACTCTGTGTGTGCCTATATGAACTCTCCTTACCCACCTGCCCCTGCTACCTTCAAAACATTGCTTTACTGAATTTAACTCCTTTTTTTAAACCCTAAATCCTTCACACTAGTTTCTTAAGTCCTCCCCCCATTTTGGGGGGGCAAACATTTCCTTCTTATTATGGCATATTTAGAATATAAAACACTGATATCCACGCAAATGAAAAGTGCAGCCCATAGAGTATAAAAAACACTGATATCTGCAAAAATGAGAAGTGTAGCCCACTGAGGACAGTGTCTGCAGGGACACCCACCCTGGCTGCACCCACAGGTGTGTGGGAGAGAACCTGCTGGCAGAGCCAACCTGTCCAGGAAGTAATTTCCAACCAGTTCTGAAGAACCAGCTGCAGGACAGGAGGCATCCTCTGCAGGTGCTCACCACACCCCCTCCCATGACCCGGAGCTCTGACCTTAGTGATGAGCCAACATGGGAGAGCACAAAAGAGGCCCAGAGACCGTCTAATCTAATCCAGTCCCCCAAGCTACAGACAAGGAGATGGAGGAGTAGTTCCTTCCCAAAGGTCACCAACCGCTAAAGCTACTGCCCCCAGCCCCCACCCTAAACTTCCTCCAGCCCACACCACCTTACATCCTTCCTAGGACAGTTGTTTCTCTTTTCAAAACCAGGTATATAAACACTCAGGAAGATCTAGAAATTCAAGATGGTGGTCACCTCTAGTGCAGAGGGAGGGTCATATGATCAAGTGGGTTACACAGGGGGGCTTTAACCATGTAGATAATATTTTATGTCTGAAATACTTTGAAAATATTTCTAAAACCTGGATTTTATGTCACTGTGAGCAACCCCAGAGTATAATTTTTCAAAACCAAGTAAGCGAAGCATTCATTTTTGACCTTGTGTAAGAATTAGTCTCTGACAGGGCTTATTCCACAGGTGTTTGTTTTTTGTTTTGTTTTGGTTTTTGGGGTTTCTTTTATTTTTTCCTCCCCTGTGAAAAGTTTGCTTCAATAGCACTTTAGGGACATATTTGCCCATGAAACAAAGCCCCTCCACAGTGTAGAGATTCAGTTTGTCAACTGACTTGTCACGTGCACGTTCTTCCATTTTTTTTCTGTGGTTGTTGCTGTTGTTATTAGTCCAGTTTTCTCAAGTGCACTGAGCTCCTTGTTCTGCAAATGGGACCTCCCAGTCTTCACTCTGCCCTTCAACATGGCATTGTCGATGTACCTTTCGGCCACAGGACATTACAATCCGTTCTTCCCAGGCAAACTGCTCAGACCTGTAACTGAGGTTCCCAATATCACCTGGACTGACCTCAGTGCTCTGCAGGTAAGGTACCCTGTCTTCTCACATTCCTGCCTTGCTCTGGAAGACTCTGTGTCCTCCTTGTTAATTGTTCTTGGGCATCAGAGCCTTATGGAGACTCAGCTCTAGGGTGGGCTTGCTGACTTCATCTTGCCCTATAAACCATTCGTCCTGCTCCAAAACTTTGGGCTCTAAGGGCTTGTTTATTATTGTTATTGAAGTGTAATTAACATACAGTGTTATATTAGTTTCAGGTGTACAATATAATGATTCAGCAATTCTATACACTACTCAGTACTCATCAGGATAAGAGTACTCCTAATCCCCTCCACCTACTGCACCCATTCCCCCACTTACTCTGGTAACCACCATTTTGCTGTCTGTATTTAAGCATCTGTTTTTTTCTTCCTTTTTTTGGTCTCTTTTCTCTTTGTTCTAAGGTTTGGGGATTTTTTTTTTTTAATTATGTTTAATTTTGAGAGAGAGAGACAGTGTGTGAGCAGGGAAGGGGCAGAGAGAAAGGTAGACACAGAATCTGAAGCAGGCTCGAGGCTCTGAGCTGTAAGCACAGAGCCTGATGTGCAGCTGAAATTCACGAACCATGAGATCATGACCTGAGCTGAAGTTGGACACTCAACCGACTGAGCCACCCAGGCACCCCTGTTCTGAGGGCTTGGTTTTTTTAATGTTTGTTTATTTTGAGAGAAAGAAAGTGGGGGAGGGGCAGAGAGAGGAGAAAGAAAGAGAATCCTAAGCAGGCTACCCACTGTCAGTGCAGAGCCCAACATGGGGCTCAAACCCACAAACTGTGAGACTATGACCTCAGCCAAAGCCAAGAGTCAGTCACATAACCAACTGAGCCACCCAGGTGCCCCTCTACGGGGTTTTTTAAATGACTGCTCAAAGCTAACTTTTCCTCCTCTTTTCCTAAAATCTACTCCAGAGTATAGTTCTGTTTCAAAGTCAGAGTCCAAGAATCTGTTTCAAACTTTGGGTGGGTGTGTTGGGGGCCATCCCCTGAGGCAGAGCCTCCAGCCTGGAGTTAAGGCCTCCGTGATCTGGCTCCTCCGATCAAAACAATTTGTTCCTTCTGCTAAATCTCATTACAGAACCTCTCTATTCTGCTTTTTCATTTGGCAGATCTCATAGAATATGTACAGTAATTCATGGTTCTCAAACTTTGGTAGGCATTAGAATCATTGTTTTTTCTTTTTTTTTTTTTTTAATGTTTTTATTTCTGAGAGGGAGAGAGAGAGAGACAGACAGCCAGCATGAACAGGGGAGGATCAGAGAGAGAGGGAGACACAGAATCTGAAGCAGGCTCCAGGCTCTGAGCTAGCTGTCAGCACAGAGCCCAATGTGGGGCCCAAACCCACAAACCGCAAGATCATGACCTGAGCCAAAGTCAGACGCCCAACCGACTGAGCCACCCAGGTGCCCCCATTGTTTTTCTTTTGTAAACACTAATACAAGCTCCATCTCAGACTTTCTAAATCCTAATCTCTGGGAATGGAGCCTGGGAGCCTGTATTAACAAGCTCCCCAAATAATGGTGATGTGGGCCAGAGTTTGAGAACCACTATCATAAGATGTATTCTATGTATCTCTTTGCAGATGTGCACGAAGAGAGCACCATTGTTAAAAATCTGGTTAACCCAGGGGGGCGCCTATGTGGCTCAGTTGGTTAAGTGTCCAATTCTTGATTTCAGCTCAGATCATGATTTCACAGTTTGTGAGTTCAAACCCCTCATCAAGCTCTGTGCTGACTGCATGAAGCCTGCTTAGGATTCTTGGTCTCCCTCTCTCTCTGCTCTCTGCTTTCCCCCCCAATAAATAAACATTAAAAATTAATATTAGTAAAAATAAAACCCTGGTTAGCCCAAATCACATTCAAGCTCTTCCTGTTGGTGTTTATTTAGTAACTCTGTTTAAAGTTTCTTGACTGTCGAAAACAAGAGAACACTTAAAATCAGAAGAAAAATACCACCTTTTATGATGGCAAAAGACTGGCTTTCCCACTATCAGGTTATGAAAGCCCTTTGAGGAGCTCAAGCAGGCTTTTCTGTATACTCTTGCCCAGAAAATAAATGGGAGCATTTGGACATAACTTGAAATAAAATCAAATGTATATTCGGACCTCCCCCGAAAAATATTATAAATAATGTTACTTGATATATCTAAAACTTCCCTGTCCAACATCGTAGCTATTAGCCCCACGTGGCTATTTTAATTTAAGTGTGAAATTCATTACAATTGAATAAAATTAAAAACTCAGTTTCTTAGCCTCACTAGCCACATTTCAGGTGCTCAGTAGGCACGCGCATTGGACAACAAACATACAGAATATTCCATCGTGGAAGTCCTGTTGGACAGTGCTGATGCGAGGACGTAAGTGTCTTGCTCTTCTCACTATGAACTACCGCCCCAACATCAGCACCCTTATTTCCCATCTCAGCCAGGGCCCGCATTCCTGACGACCTGAGGGATGGTTCTGCCGCTCAGTTCTGACTTGAAAGTGTAGGTAGTCTTTGCCCATGTCCAGTTCCCTAGACAAAGTTCTAGAGAAACAGGAAACGATTTAGCGTAGACGTAAAGATCCAGCGCGGGCTGGAAAATTTAAGGTCCATCTCAGGATAGACTCAAACTCACAGTATGGTCCCATGTGCTGAGTAAGCACCGATGTAGCATTTGGAAGCCAGCATTAGATCCAGCCTAACACATGAAGGGAGAGGGCAGTTCCCGCTGTATCAGAGTCACCACCTCCCCAAGGTCGCTCAGAAGATGTACATGGTGACCTAGAGACGATGGAGGGAGTGAGATGGGAAGGCATTTTTCAGCAAATGGCCTTGGTCACTAACCTAATGTGGCTAAATATGCCTATCCTGGACCTACCAGATGTGTTGCTATAAAATGCTATCAGCATTTGTTAGCTTAAATCAAACCCTGTACCTTCCTGAAAACTGCCATTTTGTGAATACATGAGCTGAATGTAGGCCTCAGCCAGAAAGTAGAGTTGTGACATTTACATGTATTTTTGTGGGTTTTTTGTGGACTGACTGGCAGTTGTTGATAACTGGAATAAGCTAAGGATATTCTGGTTTAAATTAATACACACTCTCGTTAACAGCAGAAGTGTAAATAGGGTCCTGATTCATGAACTTGCTGTTATTGCTTCTGAATTATGGATAAGAGAGCCTTATCTGGATCTCCAGCCTTAACAACACAATTGCAAGGGAGTAATAGTATTTCTGTTGACTGCAGTGTGCGCTGGTATATCAGGCCTGAGCACCAATGGACAGTTAAAAGCAACAGAAGTGTAAGTTGAGGTCCCTGCCATCCTCACAGGGAGACACGGCAGATCGTCATGGTGCGGGAAGTGGTACCACCTGGGAGCTTAGCAGCAGCCAAAGCCACCGAGTCAGTGCATCAGCAGAGCCCCTGAGTGAAGGGGGGTTCTAAGGAGGTGCTCTCAGATGCCCATACCTGGTTCATCTTTCAGGATAAAACAGAAGTGTGAGGTTTTTCTGTAAAGAGGGAGAATTCTTTTTAAGTGGAGGTGGAGTGGGGGTAGAGATGTGGCGCCTGGGCGGCCCAGTCAGTTGAGCATCCGCCTCTTGATTTTGGCTCAGGTCATGATCCCAGGTCATGGGTTTGGTTGGAGCCCATGTGAGGCCCCATGCTGAGTGTGGAGCCTGCTTCAGATTCTCTCTCCCTCCCTCTGCCCCTCTCCTCCACTCGCATGCACTCTCTCTAAGAAAAAATTTTTAATTTAATTTAAAAAATAAAAAAATTAGTAACACTGATCTCAGAAGACAAGGCAGGATCACTCTACTGTTGCATTGTGTGTATTTGTGGGTATCTATTCAGCTGTGTTAATGACCTCCTTTTCTACATGGCTTTGCAGCTGTTGAAATCCCTGCCCGTGGGTGTCAGTCAGATCTACGGCTGTGATAACCCATGGTCGGGGGGCATTTTCCTGGGTGCCATTCTGCTGTCCTCCCCGCTCATGTGCCTGCACGCTGCCATTGGGTCACTGCTGGGGATAGCGGCAGGTAAGCCTATGACACAACTAGATATCGAGCACCTCCTCCCCTACACGCACCTCCTCAGGCCTCTTGCATGCTCCAGACCTTTCTCAAGGGCTCTGCTTCCAGGGCACCGAGGGAGTTCTTGGGGCTTCCCCCCCCGCCCCCTGCCCGACCTTCTTCCAGAGCATGCTTGCTGCCTTTTGTCCACTGCTGTGACCCTGTCTGTCTTACTTAACAGGACTCAGTCTTTCAGCACCGTTTGAGAACATCTACCTTGGACTCTGGGGTTTCAACAGCTCTCTGTCCTGCATTGCAATTGGAGGAATGTTCATGGCACTCACCTGGCAAACCCACCTTCTGGCTCTTGCCTGCGGTGAGTATACTCTGCATCGGAGGGAGGGTTGCTCATTGCTGTGGGATCAGCCCAAACAGTAAAAAAGAACTATATGAGAAACTGGGGTGCGGGTTCCAGTTTGGGCCCCTGGCTCTCTACGTGTGTGAGCAGGACACGTGGCTTCCTCTCTCCAGGAGGATTAAGCCCTCCTGGGCCCTCCTCATTGGTTATTGTGAGGACAGGGGAGCCTTTAGAGCCATGTTAACCATTTTGCCTTATGTATATGTTGGGGGATAGAAACTTAACTCGTCCTATATCCTTCATACCAGTCATTTGACCCATGAAACGATAATAAAATGAGTCAAGCTAAACACAGAGCCATATCTCCTGGTGAGTCAGGCGGGACTACATGTGGCCCTTTGAGAATCACACGAATCCAGCTGTTCCCACATTTCAGGGAGCGTCAGAATCACCTGGAGGGCTTGTTAAAACACAGATGGCTGCCCCCTTCCCTAGTCCCTGACTCCTTGTTAGAGGTGGGGGAGGAGTTGGTGTCTCTAACGAGGGCCATGTGGCACTGATGCTGGTGCTCCGGGGACTGTATTTCAGACCGACTGTGTTCATCCGTTGTGACCCCCGTATTCCAGCCAGACTCCTCCTGTCAGAGCTAGACGGGGTTCTGGAGATCCCCTACTCCTCCTTCTCATTTTACTATTAGGGCTCTGAAGCCAGAGAGGTGAAGCGATGCTCTGAAGGGCGTCTAGTCAATTAGGGTAAATTCAAGCCCGGAATCCACATTTGGTAACAACCTCTGGAATTACACTCCCTACACTTCTCTGCTCCTGGTGGCAGCATTCAGGCCTGTAGGTAAAAACACACCCAGGTGATTTAGATCTGAAAAGTTAATGGCTTTCTCAGGCCTTTGTAAAGTAGAGGCACACTCACCCAGAGCCTCTGGCGTCCCTAATTCAGTACAAAGTAAACGTGTTTAAGATAATGTGTTAGAGTGTAGGGATACTGGGGATATCTTTGGGTGACGCCGGGGAGGGGTGGAGTGTGCAGAAATTATTTCTAAAATATGTGTCTAGAGTCAGTTTATCGCCAGATTAATCAATCCGAGGTATCTACAGCCCTGTTACAATGGTGGACTGCGTACACACACAATGCTCCGAGCAGTATCTCAGTCCCCCAGGGACTGGGACGGGTTTGACAGCTGCTGTTTGAGGAAATACAGGATTGCATGTGAGACTCATCTCCTCCCCATAAAGGAGCATCTTTAAATTGTCCTTTTACAGATGATAAAACCAGATTCCAAAGTTCAGGGATTTGTTGTACAATAAAATGGCAGAGCTGGGGTTTGAAGCTTGTCTTTCCGAGACATGCCTTTCCCACTAGCAGGAGACGGTTCAGATGTTGCAAGAAGTAGGCACACTCTTGAACAAAAATACCTGGATAAAAAGACCAAAGATTGATAAAAGGATGGAAGTGTGTGGTAAAGAAATGAGCGACGGAGTCCCTCCCCCATTTCCTGCCGCACCCCCACGGTGGCTGTGTGATTACTCACTGCTTTCGAGCAGTAGATGGTGGGTGGGTGACCTAACAGTGAGTGGTGGGGCCCAGGTGGCTGTGTGGCCAGTTTATGGAGGTCGTTCTGCAGCCTGCCTTGGTGAAATCAGAGGGCTTCCCTGAGCCATCTTGAGCCCCCTCTTCAACTGATGATTAGCTACTTGAGATCTTTGTTTTGTTTTACTTGAAGGTCACACATATACTCCAACTACCTACTTTAAGATTCGTGCTCACTCAGAGTAAATAAAAACACAGCATGTTAGTTCATTGGCCTGTATGCCAACTTTAATGGTACTTGGGAAAATGTTATGGGGAGAAATCGCACATTTGTGTCCTGTTTCTACTGATTTCTGAGTTACTGTCTTTTTTTATACCAATTTTTTCTGTGAATTCTAACCAATATGAAAATCCTGTGATTGTACAGAAACCACGCTATCTCAAGAAGCAGTCATACTTTTCATTTTAGTTCAACCACACTCAGATAAAGTAACAGGAAAGTTTATTTGCCATAGAAAGCCTTTTCCTTAAGGTTCAGCAATAACAGGAACAAAATAGGAACCACAGAAAAGCTACCTTTATTGAGTACTTTTAAAATATTTTTTTATTTTTGAGAGAGAGAGAGAGCGCAAGCAGGGGAGGGGCAGAGAGAGGGCAAAATAGAATCTGAAGCAGGCTCCAGGCTCTGAGCTGTCACAAGAGCCTGATGCAGAGCTCAAATCCATGGACTGTGAGATCATGACCTGAGCCAACACAGGTGCCCCTATTGAGTACTTCGTCCTGCGTGCTAACCACGAGTACTACCTGCTTTCATGTTCACACCAACCCTATTCCCTCTATTGTGCAGGTGAGGAAGTGAATGCTTAGAATGGAGGCCACCAAGCTCCTAAGTGGTAGAGCTGCCAACTCTAAGCTCATACTTATAACAAGGGTACTCAGCTGGCTGGGAAAACATGGATGTTTATACCAGAAGGCAGTCTTTCCTGTAATGCAAAGTGCAACTACTAAATATTGTTCCCCTTTGTTTGTAGCCCTATTCACTGCCTACCTTGGAGTCAGCCTGTCGCACATGATGGCTGTGGTGAGTCTGTTTTAATCTTGCATTATCGTCAGCATAGTTGATCAGTTTTTGTTGATATGGAAACCCTCCTGAGGGCCCCCTGGGGGGTGTCCCATGCAGGATCCATGGCTGGGATCGCCACTACTTTCTCATCTCCTGGACCTGCCTGTCCCCACTCACCTCGTACCATCACCGTGAATTATAGTCCAAACTGCAGTCACTGGGTTTGCTAAAAATATTAGATTGCTAATCTAAAGAAGTGAAACTTAGGTTGTATAACATATTTATCAACTTCATAGTCTAACTCTGAGCATCAGGGAATTGACCTTAGAATATCTTCTACTTGAACAGAAAGCCAAGACCATGTCCTGGTTGAGAAATCAGGAAAGAGAGAAAAAGGAATATTGGCTAACAACCCAGATAGTTTTGTTTTTGCTTTCAGTCACACCATTAGTTTTTCATACCTTTATCTTTTATAAAATTTTATTTTAGAGAGAGTGCACTTGAGAGGAGAGCAGGGGAGGGGCAGAGAGAGAGGGAGAGGGAATCTCACCTCGGGGCTCAATCCCATGACCCTGAAATCATGACCTGAGCTGAAATCAAGACTTGGATGCTTAACTGAGCCACCCCAGCACCCAACACCTTGTCCTTTTTTAAATCTCCATCAGTCATCAGTAAGACTTATTCAGACCCACATCCTAGCTGAAGTATTTAATTTCTTTTTTTGATATTTATTTTTGAGAGAGGGAGAGACTGAGTATGAGTGGGGGAAGGGCAGAGAAAGAGGGAAACACGGAATCCAATGAGCTGTCAACATGGAGCCTGACACAGGGCCCAAACTCATGAGCTCATGACCTGAGCCGGTCACTTAACCAACTGAGCCACCTAGGTGCCCCTCCCCCCCTCCCAGCTGAACTATCTAATAGCCAAAATCATCTCCCATTTAGTGCCTCCTGCCACTCTTTCTTATTCCTTTTGGGCACTGTCCTGCCCTTGACCTTCTCTTTCAGAACTGCATGAGTTGCCAAGAACAGCCCAGAGGAAGGACCTCCCCTCAAGGAGCTTAGAATCCATTTGGGAACGGGAACAAAAGGAAGGAAAGGCAGTAGAGTCCAACACTAGTGTGGGTGGAAATCAGGAAGGGAGATGGCACCACAGGCTGAACTCATCAAAGAGTGCCCTGTGGGTGTGATGAGGGTCAGGAGCCACTGGTGGCTTGCTAAGTGACATCTCTGGGTGCCCTGTGGCATAGGAAGCCTGACTGTAAAAGAGGAAGGGAAAGATGGACAAAGTGGACATGAACTGACCACCTAAGATGCAGATGGTGGCATTTCACCTGCTAAATGTCCCGGGATCTTGGACTCCATCTCAGGCATTAGCGGAGCCTGGGTCAGTGCTCCGGGGATGCATCCCCCTGGGCAGAATGAGAATAGGATGAAGGGTGGTGCTTTGTGACAGAATCTCAGAGGAGCATGTGGCTTGTCTCTTCCTCTTCAGGCGGGATTGCCAGCTTGTACCTGGCCCTTCTGTTTGGCCACGCTACTGTTCCTCTTGGTGACCACGAAAAATGCCAACATCTACAGGATGCCCCTCAGTAAAGTCACCTATCCTGAAGAAAACCGCATCTTCTACCTACAGGCCAAGAAAAAAAGGATGGTTGAAAGCCCTTTGTGAGAGCATCCCCCACCCACAGCCATGGTCAGAAGGGGTAGCTGACTGACTGCCCCAGGTGACTCCCAGGGTCTCGGCAACCTGCTGTTTTTCACTGGTAATGACTTTCGTACTAACCCATTGGCGATCTACTCTTAGGCTCATTTTGTAGCTTTCTTTTAGACTCCAGGAACATCCCCAAATGTGTGAGAGACGCGTCCAGATGGTGTGCCCTGGTGAGGCATTGGTGCTAAGACCAATATAGTCATAAGGTCAGATGCTCCAACAGAATGAAGACGTGAGCCCAGAGCTAATGATTGACATTTATCAATATTCTTGGTGTTTGGTTAAGCTACGTGATGTTAACAGTATTAAAAATTAAGCTCTATAACTAAGCCGTCAGTGAATGCAATTCATGGTCACAACATCAAAGTCGACCCAGAATTCTCAGATAAGAATCGATACAAGTTACCCGTGACAGTGGTGCTGCTCACAGCTCATGCCCCAGCCCCTCAGCAGAATGGCCTGTAGCCTGCCCTATGTGGGTGGCATTCTCTTACGAAAGATGGTTGGTTCTTCCAGGATGACACAGCTGTAGGAGAGAGAAAGGGATTTTATCAGTCAAAACTATTCTCGAATGTTATTTTTCTTAGACATGGCAAAGAATTTTTTAGATAAAGTTTATCATCTTTTTCTTATATATTTGTTTTTTCTGGCTTAACTAGTTCCTAGATATTAAAGAAAAGTTACATTTTTTATGAAATATTCGACATAGCTATTTTCACTTTAATCCGTGTGTTGATTTTGTAAATGCCAGAAACGTGAAGAACCAAGTTATCAGCATCCAAGGGTTCCAATCCACTTGGGATGTTTTATGTGTTTTAAACCCTAAAAATTAAGGTCAGCTTGTTTCTGCTTGGAAGTGCTGAATTTTTTTTAAAGGAAATTTTTTTTCATGAAAAAAGTCATCATTTTCTGCGCATTCACAATATTCTCAGAAACCTGAAAAGACATACAGGTAAAGTGTTCTCCTGTTTTTCTTTAATTTTAAAGTTATCAGTCCTGTAAACATCCAATAACTGAACATACTGAGGATGCCATGGAAAGTACCACTCCCTACCTTCTGATGAATCTGTACCGATTCCATGTTTTGGAGGATTCGAAAAGAGAAACCATGGAATCCTAAGGGTATTTCCCCCTTTGGGTTTGCAGGGTTCAGTGCAAAATATGTAGGTTGCTGCAGGAAAAAAGAAAAGAAGGGAAGTCAACCTACAAATACTTCAGGGAGAAGTCCCCTTCTTCCTTTTCTCAGGAAAACATTGTTCCAATTTAACAATCCTGTGACCAAAGCCTTTTGAAACCCTAAAGTTGCAACTGTCTAGAGTCAAGTGGAAAAACTAAATTTTCACCATGTGAACGGAAATCTCCCTTGTTAGAGAATTTGTGAAAAAAGACTTGGTGGGGGAGGGGAAGAGGAGGACACAAAAAAGAAAGCAGAACCAAAGAGAACCAGGAGAGAAGAGCCTAGGCTGTGGTTGAGTGATCCAGAGCCTCTGACATGCCTCCAGGCCCATCTTCACAAGGACCTCTGGAGTGCTACCCATATACCTTCTGGTGTACTCACACAGGCATGTAAACAGGAACACTCTAAAGCCTTGTACATTGCCTAATTTAAATGGTATTAATTTTTTCAAGCTATTTTTATTACTAAGTGTTATCCTGAAATGAAGTATTTTATTAGTTTCCTTAGGGATCACTTGTATTCTTTTCCTATTGTTTAAAAATTTCTAAGTAAGAATATGAATAAAATTATACTCACAGCTCAGTTTTGTGCAAACTTTGTTTAAAAGTCATATATACATTTTATAGCTATCGTGTGTGTATGTTTAACAGAAGACCATGAGAGAGGGGAAGGGGGAGAAAAGGTGGAGGGAGGCAAACTATAAAAGGCTTTTAAATACTGAGAACAAACTGAGGGTGGGCAGGGGTGAGGGGAAGGGAGGTGATGGGCATGGAGGAGGGCACTTGTTGGGATGAGCACTGGGTGTTGTATGGAAACCAATTTGATCATCATATTTAGTATATGTGTTGCCAAAGCGAGCACTGACAATTATATTTAAAAAACAATCACATGCATAAGTGTTTACTGCTTATATCTGCTTATGTTTTGATGTGCTAGTCTCCTGATTCTTTCTTCTTCTTGGTAATAGCACCAGATGTGTAGCTGAGCAAACCCATTCAACTCAGACATATGGACCCATCCCTGTGGGTCGCCTTTCAACTACACATTGTTCCCCCAACTCAGGAGTGAGACTGGATTCCTAAGGACAGTCATGGATGTTCAGGACATGCCCCTAAGACTTTGAGATGAAAGCCCACCAGGCAGCTCCAGGCATCCTGTCCAGGCGCTGGGTACCCCACCAGGACTGAGCCTGAGCACCCATCAGGGGGCAGCATTCTGTGAGGAGCCTTCTCAGAACAATGCCCCTGAAGGTTAAGCAGTGCTTGTCTCTGAATCCTTCCGTCAGAGACCTGTCTCCCACCTCCCTTCATCCACATAAGTTAGCGTGTTTGAAAGAAAACATAAGAATGGAAATTCACTCCAACTTTCAAAGGCAGCCCAAACAAGAAATAAAAGAAGGCCACAGCAGATTAGCCCCATTGGAATGCCTTCTATCAAAACAAAACCTCTTCTACCTATTATTTGAAGAAAATAAATTTGCAAGAGTGATCTGGTCATTAAATGCCCCCTTTGGTCTTTGGTAGAAAACAGAAGGTTTTAAGGCTTTTCAGCTAAAGACTCCAAATGCCATACAGTTACCTATAACATGTGATTAGCATGGAATATATTGAGATAGGAGGTTAAGTTTGAGATCAGGAATTTCCAAGGGGGTCTCTTACAGACAACCTTGCAGGATTATTTTTGAGGTTGTTAAATATAGCAAAATGTTTTATGCATATGAATGTTTTCAGCCTTCCTTTTATCTAACAACCTCCTTCTAAAGAGTAAACCTTTTTTTTTTTTTTCAGTTTTATATTGAGAGGCAGAGAGAGAATGCACATGGGAAACAGTGGGAATCCAAAACAGGCTCCACACTGCATAGAAATCTCCTAATCATCCCTAAAATCTCCTTCTTAAAAATGCTTTGACACACCTCCCCCCAACATTAGAAGGCTTCTAATTTCAAGGCTACAAAGTGTCATTTGCTAAAACAATCAGCAATATAGATCCTGAAAGAATTTCAACAAATATAGTAAATAACAGACTTTTAAAGAAGTAAATTTAAGTCCTATAATAGTCTATTTTCACAGGTCTTAAAATAGAACTATAAAACACATGTAGTAGATCAAAGCAGACATATGTGATATCGTCTAAATGACTGCTCCCAGGTCTGACCTTAACCTTACTAAGTGTTAACCAGATAGGTGTTAACACAGCTAAAGCAACCTTACATCTGATGGGGACCAGGTCAACCACTGACACTTAGGAGCTGAAGGCAGACACAGGCAGGGGGTCTTCAGCACTGGAAGGGGTGGCCTAGGAACAGGTGTCTAGGGAGACCCCTGTGGTAGAAATAGGCATACTGGGGAATCATGGCTTAGCAAATGTAATCATTTAGACTAGGCAGTTAATGCCCCTTGTGTGAGCCCATACTCACAAGCTACTTTGCTTCCTGTATAGATTTGCATTCTAGGGGAAACAATGCCCTTGTCCATACTCGTGAATTTCTGACCCTTCATAGTTACATTTCTCATTTTAATTAATAATTTAATTTTGATAATAGGGTTTTTTAAGTTGTTTTTTGTTGTTTGGTTGGTTGGGTTGTGGGTTTTTGCTCATACATGTCACCAAAAGCCAAATCATCCCATGGTGTTCCAACAAACTTAAATTTCTGAGGCTACAAAGGTGGGGTGAGGGGTAGGAAGGAAAGGCTTTCCTGAGGATGTGAGCGTTAGGCCAAGACCTAGAATTGACCAGAAATGGGCAGGTGGAGGAAGGTGGAAGATGGAGGAATCAGATGGAAGCTCATGGATAAAGGCCTTGAGACAGTGAGATTGGTGCTTTCAAGGAGAGAAGAGGCACCTGGGTGGCTTCATCACTTAAGCATCCAACTTAGTTTTGGCTCAGGTCATGATCTCATAGTTTCGTGAGCTTGAGCCCCACATCTGGCTCTGCACTAGCAGCATGGAAACTGCTTGGGATTCTCTCTCTCCTTCTATCTCCCCTTGCCCTGCTCATGCTGTCTGTAAGTAAGTAAGTAAGTAAGTAAGTAAATAAATAAATAAATAAATAAGAGAAGACTTACATGGCTGGACTACAGTGAGTGAAAGGGCTTAGAGTGGACTTGGGAAACCAAGTAGGCCACTACAGTGGTGTGGGAAAGAGGTGGTTTGGCTTAGACTCTGGTAGCAGGGGGTGGAGAGAAGTTTATAGGGTTGAGAGATAAGAAGTAGAATCATGGTGATGGATTCATGTGGAAAGTGAGGGAGAGGGAGGTGTCAAAGAAGGCTTCCAGAAGTCTCACTTGCATAGGAAAGTAGATGGCAGTGCCACAGGATGAGATGGCAGCACACAAGAATCACTTCTTCTCTCATGCTATGTATCTTCCTGTTCAATCCCATCTTTCTAGAGCTTCAGTCCAGACACCGTGTTCAACTGTCTATGGGAACTGTCTCAAAAGTATCCATTTCAACACATTCAGGGCAAAACTCATCTTCTTCAATGACTGCTCTCCACCCTGTGCTGACTTATGGGGAAAGGCAGCACCCTCTTGCCAAACATACTATCCAGAAGCAGTGATCATCCTTAGCTTCATTCCCTCACCTCTAGGCAATAGCCAAATTCTAGGGATTTTACCTTCTTGATAGCCCCCATTGTCTCATTCATTGGCAAATATTTGTTGAATGACTATTACATAATGGAACTGGGCTTCCATAGTGAACCAGACAGTCACAGCTTCTGCCCTCACAAGAACTTTATGAGGTGAAGTGACAAGGAAATGAGGAAAGAGAGGAGCATGGTGATGAGGACGACTAAGAGGCAGCTGGGCAACAAAATTGAAGGGAGAGTATTTCAGTGACTTCTTCCTTCTAAGAAACAGAAGACAAGACTATATCATTAAATGCCAGGCATCCATACCACTTAGCAAACTTTTGGCAGCAAGTAATAGAATACCTGTCTAAAAGTACTTTAAACAACAGTAGTTTCGTTCCTAAAAGTAGAAGTTCAAAAGTTCTGTTCAAAGTTTGGTGCAGCTGCTCAATGATGTCATCAAGATGCAGTCTCTTTCTATCCTCCTCCTCATTCTCAGTATCCTCAGAAGACTTCATTTTCATCCCCAGGCTTGTTGCCTTAAGGTCACAAAACAGCTGCCTTGTTACAAACATCACAACCACATCAGGAAGTAGAAGGCAACCAGAGTTGCAAGAGTTGCATTCTTTCATGTCTCTGTCTCTTTATCAGGGAGGAAAATCTTCCCCAGAAGCTCTCCCAAAATACTTTCGCTTGTGTCTTTTTGGCATAAAAGGGTCATATTGTCATTCCTGGCTGCAAAGGAGTCTGGGAAAGCATGCACCTGGCATGGTCAGTCCCTACTGTAGCAGGTGAGCTCTGCTATATTGCAGGGAGAGCAGGAGGAATGACTACTGGGTGAGCAGACAAACATGTCTGCCACGGCTGTACATAGTATACAGTACCGTACAGTATACAGTACCTTTGTGCCCACACCACACTGAAGAGAGCTATGTGGTGACAGACAAGACTATTGTGGGACTTACAAAGGGGGTTGGGACAGAGACCTAAACCAAGACCTTTTACACAGAGACACTTTGTGGAATACCTGCTGGAATGTCCCCAGAGTATTTCAGGATACCCCAGCTTCTGACTAACAAGAATCTTGCAGCCTCTGACTAACAAGATTCTAAGCAAAAGGTGAGGCAGATAGTGATAACGATCAGAGCAAGGAAAGTTTAGGGTCAATTCATGTTTTAATTAGCCCTCTCGATCTAACAGTTGAAGTCTCTAAATCATTCCATATCAAAAGGCCCCACTGGAAATAGTTGAGTTTCAACTCAGTTCCAGCTCAATGAAGCATTGAAAACAAGTGTCTGACATTTTCTGCTTTATGGCTCCAAATAAACAATGAGAAAGCCAGTTTCCTGTTTGGGTTGGGTCCATTGGATCCTAGCCCTTAGAAGCTTTGAATTATATCACAGTCAGTGACATGCAAGGACTTGAAGGGGAAGAAACGAAGCACAGGGGAAAGTTGGCACAGTGTCAGGAAATCTGGCTAGAGTTAAGTCTCTCCAACCACGAGAAACAATGGCAACTCAGGCATGAGTCAGTGACCCCAGAGCAAGCACATCTTGGGGCAACAAGAGCACATACAGGCAGGTCATAGGCATGGCTAATCCAACAAGGAGGCCTTTCTACGTTCTGAGACCCCATGTTGGCCTCACAACCAGAGGGTATTGGCGGGAGTGAGTAGCCACACGCAGCACTTGAAATAAGGCCAGCCTAAACTGAGGTGTGTTCAAAAGTATATATTGGATTTCAAACATAGAAGATCAAAAAAAAGTAAAATATCTCAATCATTTTGTATATTTATTAAATATTGAGATGACAATACTTTGTATACATTGGGTTAAATAAAAGGTATTATTAATTTCACCTTTAAAAAATTTGTAATGTGGTTACAAGAAAATTTTAAATCATGTAGATGACTTGGATTTGTGGCTCATATTATCTGTCTATGGGACAGTGCTCGGTTAGACAAGCCCCACTCCTGGGCTCTTAACGGGCTACAAGGTCTCCATGGCAACTCA